ACAATATGGTAGAATGAGAGGCAACGATGCAAGTTAAAATATGGAAGTTTTGTGCCAGGAACATCATGCAGATTAAGAAATGCATTTGCTCTGGTTATAGGAAATCCTTTATTTTGATTCCAATATTTGGGATTTCACTGGCTGGTTTCCTCATTTAACCACCTCCAGCGCATAAACTCTACAGAAGCAACCTATATTTTCCCCCTATATTTTCACTCCCCTTTTTCACTTTAAGGTGATCTTAAATAAGTGAGGCATGAAGATGGACCAACCATTCCCCCTAATAGAAGACAAACTCGGGATTTTGGAAAAACCCTCTAAAGTTAGAAATACCAAGTGAGATGCTCAAGCTTTGATACTGTGCAAAATTCCCAGCAAAATCCAGCAGGTTAAAGGCGATGATGACCTGTGGCACAGAACAATGACCTACATACATGGCCAGGAGGAAAAGATACTTTCTGATTTGCCCAGCCGTTTCACCTGAGTTCCCAGGCCAGGACACTGATCTGTGGGTTGTGATGGAATCTCTGTAATTACCTGCGTAGTTCTACCAACAGAGGAATCCAATCTGAGTTTGTGGAGCAAATTTCTTAGAAGACTTGGAGTAATGGTATTTTTGGGGGTGGTAATACAGGACCTACATATACTAACAGAATCATAGAGTTGGAAGGGACCTTAGAGATCTTCTAGATCTAGACCGTACTATAGCAATAGCACTTAGATTTATATGCTGCTTTATAGCGCTTTACAGCCCTCTCAGAGCGGTTTCACAGAGTCAGCCTGTTGCCCTCAACAATCTGGGTCCTCATTTTACCCAACTTGGAAGGATGGAAGGCTGAGTCAACCTTGAACCTGGTGGGCTTCGATCTGCCAAACTGCAGTAGGAGTAGCTTGCAGTACTGCACTCTAACTACTGCGCCACCAAGGCCTACAAAGCTCTGAAAAACTCCTGTAGAAATCCAACTTGCTACACTTTTACTACAGAAATTGGTTCCGCTCCTATGCCACGTGGTATCTTTATGTGTCCATGCCAATTCCTGATGTCCCTAAAAAGGGGCAGAAAACCACAGGCAAATATACTAGGAAGGATTCCTCCTCACCAAAGTGGCCAGGCTTGATGACTTCTGATAAAAATATATCTCCATCCATAAACAAAACTAATCACAATAGCAATGTGCTTGCTGATATCTTAATTAACTAATATTAATAACTTAATTAGACTTCCTGATTTTTTATTGATGAATGAAAGTGTATCTGCAATCACTGTGTTAGTTATTTAATTTTCTTCTGGAAGTTACAGAGGGACAGGATCAGGCCTTGTAGGAGTGGCAGAATCTGGGGGCGGAGTTAAAAGAGCCTAGAATCCCTACATAGCCACAAGCAGCCTAAGTCTTACCCTCCTGGACCCTTATCTAACTCTAAGCAGGCTGCAAACCATTCGCTGAGAAGATTCCTGTGCCTAGGCTGTTTAGCAATAAATCAGTTTAATTGCACCTTCATGTGCAGACCTGACCTTTCTTACCTGACCCAACCTCAATAATTCACTGTCATAAGACAACTCCAACCATATCATGTAGCCCACGGATCTAACACTGAGCTCTCTCTCAAACAGCAAACTCTTCGGGTTTCTGCCTCTTGTGCAGAAGAAGTGCTAGGTGCTAATGAAGTTTCTTTCGATTCCTTTATGCTAGATAGGGGACAAAAAGGCCATGCATGTGAAAGAAGAAAAAAAAACAGTTCCCTAATTTCACCATTTTCTCCTCGCATAAGAGGCTTGCAGGTGTGTGGTGTGATGTAATTCTCTCCATACATTATAGATGAGGACCAATAAGTTTATCCTATTTTTAGAGCTTGAAAACTCTAAAGAGCTATCAAAGTCTCATTTCCCATTCATTTCCCCAGGCTGCCTTTTCTCACTCTCCCAGGTAGGCAAATGCCCAGAGATTGGTGGCTCAAATTAGGATAAGGAATTCAGTCCCCTGGTGCAGTTTCTTGCTTTTTAGGATTGGCCATGAAGGCACAGCATCTGCCAAAATAGAAGAATGCAATCAAGTTCAGACTGGCTTTCATTAATTTAAGCTCTCAGATATTCCATATTTAGTATGTCCAACTGGTATGGCCAAATTGTGGGTACTGAGACTTTAATCCAAATCTCACTGGAATTTTACTTGTTGAAACTCTGCCATTTTTTGTCACAATGCGTATAAAAAAAGAGATTAAGCTTTGATTGCATGGCTGGGCCACCATCTTTATTTTTCTGACACATCCTTGGTTCAAGTCCTTGTTCTCTATGCAATGGAAAAACTCAGCCAATCAGAACTTTTATGTGAAATAAAAGAGATGTGTGCATGATGATGTGGTCTACAACCCTTTTCCTATTTGAACATTATTAACTGCATAAGGAAAACACCATGCTGGGAGCCAGTTTGGTGTAGTGGTTAAGGCAGGGGTCCCCAACCACCGGGCCCCGGACCGGTCCCGGTCCGTGGAACATTTTCTACCAGACTGCCAGTTTGCTGGGCGCCGCCATCTTGTTTTGATGAGAAAGTGTTTCTGGTGAGCTTTTCCGGTTGGAAAGCGGCATTTGGGTCCTGAAGGAATCCTCACGCCTTAGTTTCATCGAAGGGGGGTGGCGGCTTCGAACAAAACTAAGGCGCGAGGATTCTTTCAGCACCCAAGGCAAGGCGAGCCGAGCGACTGTCCCGAAGCCATCCCGAAGCCCATCGACAAAGGTACAAAGGAGGAGTTGAAGGTGGCGGGGAGAAGCGGGGGACGGCTGGCTGGCCGGTTGCTCAGCTCGCCTTGCCATGCGTGCTGATGCCGGTACCGGGCCATGGATCATTTTGTGATGCCGGTACTGGGCCGTGGCACAAAAAAGGTTGGGGGCCACTGGGTTAAGGCATCAGGTTAAAGTGAATTCTAGTCCCACCTGAAGGCATGAAAGCTGGCTGTGTGATTTCACTCCAATCACCAGGAGACGGTGAGTTCTACTCCTACCTTAACCATGAAAGCTGGCTTCACTCCAATCACCAGGAGACAGTGAGTTCTAGTCCCACCTTAGGCATGAAAGCTTAGGCATGAAATTTTGGCCAGTCACACACTCTCAGCCCAACCTACCTCACAGGGTTGTTTTTGTGAGGAAAAATGGAGGAGGAAGGAGGAGTATTATGTATGCCGCCTTGAGTTACTTATAAAGTAATAAAAGTGAAATAAAAAATCTAATGAAAAAATCAATTTCTTAAGTTAAAAGGAAAATGCTCAACAGTGATAAAATTACACATATGATGTAATTGACGATTTTGATGTGATTTCTTTGAACTAGTGTAATTACACACATCCTGTACCATATTACAAATACGGAAATTTGAAATACGTATGTTTTTGTTCTTTTTTTAGACCTTAGAAACAAAAATCAGGCTTGGGGTTACATGTTCCCTTTCATATTGAGCAAGAAATTTGTTAATTCATAGTAAGAAGAGTGTGAAAAAAGAAATGGGTGTAAACCACATAGTAAGAAGAGAGTGAAAAAAGAAATGGGTGTAAACCACTGCGGTTATATGATGGAGACTGGATTATGGAGACTAGACGTGCAATGGGGAACTAGCACTTTCATTGCACTTCATTTTGATGTACAAGAATTTTTTAAATCTAGCCAGGATGTATCTGTGAGAATTCTGCTGATCTAGATCAAGCCAAGCTATGTAAAGTCAGAACGTCTCCAATTTATTGCAGTTTTAACTTGGAGAACCTAATGGCTCTCAACCAGTTCTGAGTTCACTTTTGTTTTGATTTGGAGAGCCTGACAGCTCCCTACCAGTTCTGAGCTTACTTCTGTTGGGTTCCAACCCCAACCCTGGAAGGTTGGACACTTCTAAACAAAATACTACAGACATGTATTCTTGTGACAGAATGTCTATGGTGCTTACAATCTTATAAATAAAGATGATGCAAGGAGCTTTGCAGCAAGTTGTCTACACAAGTAAGGTTTTTCTTTAATTAAAAAAAAATAAAAACAAAGCTATGGGAGACTAAAGTCTAGCAGACCCCCGAATACTGAAGAACCTGCCATAGTAGTTTTTTGTGGAAGAGGTTCAAAGAGGAAAGGAAATTGACTCCCACACACATATCCAGTGAATAAAAAATGCTTCTTCCTGCAAAGCTACACCCTGGAATTTGGAAACAGAATAGCAGCAAGATTTTTAATATAGGTATAACACTGCTGTAGAGAGGCATGGAGACAGCCTTGATAGAGTTATTCAGATACTGTTGCAGAAGCAACATTGCTTAAGTCTTGGAATGCTAGCAGTCTACTTGGAAGAACTTCAGAAGAATTCAGTATCTAAGGGGCTGCCACAAAGAAGAGGTCAACCTGTTCTCCAAACTCCAAAGCATCTGAAGGCAGGACAAGAAGCAATGGATGGAAACTAATCAAGGAGAGAAGTAACCTAGAACTAGATGAAGAAGCTTCTTGGATGAGAAATGAAACATCTTCAAAGAAAAACCAGAAAATCTAGTTGCCTCTTGAAAAAGCACCAATCATGACCTGAATGACTGAGAATCTCCATAGACATCAACCTAGAACTAAGGAGAAATTTCTTGACAGTGAGGACAATTAATCAGTGGAATAGGTTGTCTTTAGAAGTTGTGGGTGTTCCATCACCCGCATTTTTAATGAAAAGACTGGACAGCCACTTCTCTGAAATGTTAAAGAGTTTCCTGCTTGAGCAGGAGTTGGACTAGAAGACCTCCACGGTCCCTTCTAACTCTATTATTCAACAAATTGTCCTCCTTTCCGGACATCAACGAAGTAAGATGTACTCTTTTCATCCTTCTCTGCTGAATATGGGAAATATGCAGAGAGAGAAAACGAAAGAGGAAGGAAAGGCAGCTGCTGTACAGCTGCTGTCTACTTCTCTTAACCTGCCCCTAATCCACAAAAATAACGAAGAATGAATATTATGGAAAGAGAAGGTTCTTCTCCCCCATCCACATTTGCTTACCTGTTTTCTGGATCTAACATAGCCATGTTCCGCGTCACATAGCACATTTTGAGTGGGATGGTCTTTTTGTCTCGGTGGATGTTGAGAGACAGAGGCAACAGGGGATCGATGGTTGGGTTGCCCAAACGGGGGGACTCAGGAGGAGGAGTTTCCCATCCAATTTCAGAAATAGGAGAACCTTTCTTCACATAGGGGGTGGCTTCTCGCATGTATTTCACTGAAAAGAAGAAGAAAACAAATGAGAGCATAAGTATCGGAGAAGAGCGGGCAAAGCTGGAGGCAGAATTAAATGTGTCGTTAGTTTAGAGTCCTTACATTCTCACAAACAGTCCAAGTTCAACTGGTCCTGAATTCCATTGACTCTTATCTGGTGCCAATTTAATGCTGAACTTTAGTTGACTAGATTCTTGTGCATATGCTTGAATAAATCTTCTATGCTGCAATACAACAGATGATCCTGATTTTTTGCGCCTGACATAAGGAGAACGAGTGGTTGAACACCTCAATGGTCATAAAACCAGTCAGTCATGTGACCTACCCAATTTTATGATTATTTTTTTTTGCAGCAGTCATTAAATGAACCCATTATTCACTATGGCGAGGTTTTCCCCCCAAAACCAGGAATGCTCTTTGCTGCAAAACTGATGTAAAACATAGTCACATGACTGCTGGATACCGCAAAGGGGCATAAATGTGACTATGTTGCCAAGCAACCAAAGCAAGGTCACCCCTGTCACAACTCCATTTAGAAATAATTGCTGAGAATTCTGGGAGCTGAAGTCTGTATATCTGAAGATCCCCTAAGCCGATTCAGAAAAGCCTCCCAGCATAAAATACCAGAAAAACTCTAAGGCCATCTTCTTTTTACAAAATACTGTATATTTACACGGATGTCTTTTGACTCCTCTACCTGAAGTCTAAAATATACTTTCAGTTCCAAGCCCAAGTTGTTTCTATTAATTTGTTTTTATACCTAGCTCTTTTCTAAGGTGGAGGATTTTTTTTAAATTATATTTTTATTTATGTACTCCAATTATGTTTTTTCTTTGATACACCAAAACATCTTATTAAGGGATAACCTTTAAGTTTATCCATGGAAGAGCCATCGCACGATCTTCCTGATATAGTTAGGTCAGCCAGGTTGTTAAAATAGTGTTTTTAATTGCACTCACACAGCATAAACCACAGCAAACAATTATCTATCTTAGCCTTCCCGATACAATATCCATCAAATGAGCAGGATCAGAAAGCCTATCACCAAGAATTGAGGCCTAGACAAAAAGAATTGAGGTCAAGTCAACAAGTCAGAAAAAGCCCGACATAGTCTTTACTCAATGTTAACTAAAGTAGCGATAACACAAATGACTTGATAGAAGTGTCTGGTAACAACTGCCCACAAGTTGATCCCAACCTCTTTTCCAGGTTCTAATTGTTGTCATATATACTAGTAAATAAATCTGGCTTCTTTTGTCTCCTGTTAGGAATGTAAGTCACCTAGCAGTTATTTGGGTTAGAAATATATAAACTTGGATAGACATTTTAATACTATGCCTTTAAGAGAATACTAAATCTGTAATTGGGTGTGGTTCCGCAAATGGCCATAAGATGGAGCCAGAAACCTGGGTTGTTTAGTCTCAGAAGAAGTCTCAGTGAGTCTCTATTTCAGTCTGTTGGAGAGAGTTGCCGTTCCTCCTAATGATTGTTACTGATCGTTGATGTAAGTCTGTTACTGAACTGTTTTTGATACTGGACTTTGATATTTGGATTATCCCTGAACTGAACACTGACTGCCTTACCTGTGAATGACTTGGACTGCTTATCTTGGACTGTGTTTAAACATTTATTGAAAAGTAAAAAACCTACATTTACTGTACAGTGTATCTGTGTGCTGTGTGTGTGTTATTCTTCACTTCTCTCACTACGTCTCCCTGTATGCACACATTCTCCTAACGGGGAATTACCTCAACATCTCCAACAAATTTGAAATTGAGGTCAGGTAATTAAGATTCCAACATTTATTTCTCATTCCTCCCAAAAATCCACACGAATTAATCTTCTGCCATATGCTAACAGCTTCATTATTTTCCTGTTAGCTGGGCCAACAGCCAGCCAGTGCTGTGTTCTAAAGAGCATTTCATATGCACCCATTTTCACCAAAGCTTGAACGCTTCCACAATTAAGCCTTTGTTATATATTCACAGATGACATTTCGAAGGCGGGGGGGGGGGGGAGAGAAAAACACACTTCTTGCAAGTCAGATGGACAAATGCGATCAAATCTATCAAGCTTCTTCTTCTTTTTTTTTTTTTCCTAATTAGGTTCTTAAACATCTTGTGACTCATTCAGGTTAGCCATAATAACAACATCACCAAAAAGAAAAAGAAAAAAAAGAAAAGAAAGGAGTGGGGTGGGGAAAGACTTCAAACTGCAAGGGTTTCACTTAGGGGAGCAAAAATGGGAAGTATCGGCTTATGGAACGGTGAAGGCAAAAGGAAAGAAACGTCGAAAGAAAGAAGAAAAGAAATTTGATCAAAGGCAGAGTATTAAGAGACTTTCCGGCTTTTGCAAGAGAAGGGGGAAAAAAGATAACCCACTTCGTCACCAGGCTTTAGGAAGTGACTGATATTAAAATTCACACACATACATTGACTCAAATAGGACTCTATTAGTGAAAGTTTGGTTTAATTAAAAAAAAAAACTTCACGTATCATAACCACAGAATTTTCGCGTAGACCTCAACTTACAATCCTTCATTGCAAAGTTGCAACTGCACTAAAAAAAGTGACAGGATCGATTTTCACACATACGACCACCGCAGCATTTCCATGGTCATGTGATCAAAATTCAGGCAACCGGCATATATTAATGACAATTGCAGTATCCTGGGATCATGTGTAACCTTCCCAGCTGGCTTCCAAAAAGCAAAAACAAAGGAGGAAGCCAGATTTGCTTAAATCACTTAAATCATGACTCCCTTAACAACTGAAGTGATTTGCTTAACAATTGTAGCAAAAAAATATATATCATAAAATGGGGCAAAACTCACTTAACAACAGAAATGTTGGACTGAATTGTGGTTCTGAGTTGAGGACTACCTGTATTCCTTCTTATTGGGAAACAGCTTCAAACTCTTTCCTATTTCTACACATACACACAAAGGAAGAGAGAGGGACAATAATGGTTTCCAGCTACTGCGGTTTAAACTGCATCCAGATGTCTTTTGTTTTGTTAAAAGGACATAACGTCCTTTTAACAAAAAACGAGAGAATTGGAGAATTGGAAACCAGAGAATTGGAGGATGTCAACATAGAGATGAAAATGTACACCTTGAGTGCAACATTTCTTATTTGGAATGGGACACCCCAGAGTAAAGGCCAGCTTTCCCAGTTGGGTGCTTTCCAGTTTGAGATTGGAACTCTTGTAGTTCCCATCTTTGAGGAATTGTGTAAGCACCAAAGTAATAAAAGAACTAATCATCATGAGTAATAATGGCAGGGTACACAATTTATTTTGGAGTTATTTTCATAACTGAAAATAAGGTTAAGGTGGAATACCTGTATTTAGATTCTTCTTCCCATTTTATCTACATAATAATCTTGTAGGGTAAGGGTGGGGAACTACAGCCCTTTTATGGCTCTTGAACTTCAACTCCCAGAATTCCAGTCAGCTCAGGAATTCTGGGAGTTGAAGTCCACATATCATAAAAGGGCCAAGGTTCCCCACCTCTGTTGTACGGCATCATCCAATTTGAGAGACAGAGATTCACTCAAATCATTTAAGCAACATCAATAGCAAAAAAATTCGCCCCTGGACTTTGATGAAAACCAAAATCTGCACTACAACAGCAACAATCTCTCCCCACTCTCTCTCCCCCTCCCACTGTCACACTCCCCTCCCCCTCTCCCTCTCTCTCACACACACTCACACACCCCGCTGGCAAACTGCATTTCAGCCACAACATTTGAGAACTGATTTTAAAGCAGGAGGTTGGACAGCACACGTGTGCTACGGGTGACCCACCCTTTTTCTAAAAAATAATAATTCTCCATTAACATACCACCTTCTATTCTTCATTTCCTCCCGTACAATGCTCATACTCATTTGTTGTTCAAAAAATGGAATGTGCCATATCTAAATATTTGATTAATAGCCACCAGCACTATATTACTGATTCATCATTTGGCGGCAATTGAGTTTTGAGCTGGCAGGAACAGGAATTATTGTTGCCAGATACTCATCAGGATAAGAAAGAGGAAACAACTGCAAATTTTAGAATTTCTGGCATCCTGAAGTAGTAAGAGAATGTGTGTGTGTGTGTGTGTGTGAGAGAGAGAGAGAGAGAGAGAGAGAGAGAGAGAGAGACAGAGAGGGAGAGGGAGAGATTAGAGAGGGAGAGAGAAAGAGGGAGGGACGGAAAGAGATTGGAGAGAGATAGAGATTGGAGAGGGAGGGAGGGGGAGAGAAAGAGGGAGGGGGATAAAGAGAGGGAAGAAGAGGGAGAGATTAGAGAAGGAGGGAGGGACAATGAGAATAAAAGGAAAGAGAAAATGAAGAGATAATAAAAAGAGAGAGAGAGAGAGAGAGACTCTCTCACTTTCAGAATTCAGTTCTGTGGAGACCATTCCCCGAGCTGGCCTACTCCAAAGGGATCATAGAACTACTGTATAATCTCCAAGCCACAGGAAGTGATAGTTCCACTTTTATTTTGCATTGGTTTGACTTCTTCAGTCTTTGTCCAGTTCAGGGTACCGCATTTTGGTACCTCCTTGTTACAAAATGAGGCCTCTGGTTCTATCGTCCTTGTTGCAAAAGGCAATGAGGTGGAAAGAACCATACGTTTTATAAGAGAGAAGACGGAAGGGGAAGTTCGGCCTTGCCAAGAGAAGACTGAGGGTGATATAACAGCACTCTTCAAAATCAGAAACGATGCCCTCCAGAAGATCAAGACTTTTGCCTCGCTGTTCTAAACGTGTTGAGGCACAAAGCAAGGGGCTTAATTACAGGAAGGCTGGTTCCGACTGTGTCTTAGGAAAACAACTTCCTAACAATAACAGCGGTGCAACAGTGGAGCCAATTAACCAAAGGTGATGGGATCTCTCAGAGGTGTTGAAATGGTGTCTAGACAGCCAACTATCAGGGATGCATTAATTAGGGCTCCTGCAAGGAGACTGACCTTGAAGGTCTAAACTCCCTTCTTCTTCAAATGTGCTGAATCTA